TGGGAACTAATCGACCTAGGAGGGCAAGGAGCAAAAAGTGTCCTTTGTGTCCCTCTGACCCAATTAGTATAGATCTCAAGGTATGTCTGTTAAACATCCAAGAAGGTTAGTTCCACCATTCTGGCATTTTTAATTACTGTGTGTCATGCAGATAAATCTTGGGTAATGATCAGTTGGTTTAAAATTTATTTTTACTTTAATTTTTCTGAGATATCATTAGCTAGCATGCAACTCACTGTACAGCCAAGGATGACCTTGAACTCTGGATCCTTTTGCTTCCACTTCAGAGTACTGGGCATGCAGTTGTGAGCCACCATGCCTGGTTTATGAAGTACTGAGGATCAAACTCAGGGCTTTGTGCATGCTTGGAAAGTATTCTACAACTGAGCCATATCCCCAGCCCTGGGGATAATTTTGTACAAGTAGGAAGGCTAATTGGAGTGAACAAACCTGAGAAATAAGCTAGAGTCAGACCTGGATCAGAGCCTAGTTTGGTAACTTAACCAGCAATAACTTGAGCAAAGTTACTTGGTTCCCCTGAATTTCAGTCTCCTTTTCTATAAAATAGAAAAGGTATTTATTTTTTTGGAGGATAAAATGAGATTATACTAGGAAACTGATAGGTAAAGCAGCCGATGGATGAATCCGGTTGATTGGGAAAAAGCACCAGGACACAGATAAAACTCCAGGGGAATAGAGTTTATTAGCAAAGGAACACCTGGGACAGATTCCCTTCCTGGCAGGGAAAATGTCTGCCCCTGGGTCGTGAGCTGGGGTCTTTTATAGGGGGAGGATTCTGGGGGTGTAGAAGGTAGGAAGATACATTTCTTTTTTTTTTAAGATTGCGGGGGGAGCGGGGGAGCATGAGAGCAGGACTGTTAAAAGCTGCCCTCTTTAGAGATCAAAGGGGAAGTCTGCTGTGTTGGCTAAACAGTGGAGAAAAGTCTGCTTCTCTTAACTTCAAAGACCAGGGTGCTTATTAAGTGGGTTCCCTTTTCTAAGGGGTTTGTGAGGTCCATGAGGCCCTGTTGGTGAGGGCGCAGGGCTATCTGAGCCCTAACAGAAACCACTAAGCACATTGTAAGCACACAGTAAAATGGTAATTGTTATGATTTATATTAATACCAAATGTGCATTTCAGGTTTTTTTTTTAATCTTTTTGAGACAGGGTCTGCTTGTAGCCCCAGCTGTCCTGGAACTCACTATGTAGACCAGGCTGGCCTTGAACTCACAGAGATCTGCCTGCCTCTGCCTCCTGAGTACTGGGATTAAAGGGGTATACCACCATGCTGGACTTTAGCCAGTGCTCTTAACCTCTGAGCCATCGCTCTAGCCCCTAGTCATTAGTCACTATTTCAACAGATAAAATGATAACAAAGCCATTCATTTCTGAATTTTTCAGTGCTTTGTACTTCCTCCCTTCAGGCATACTTCCAGCCTGTTAGCTTTCTTGCAGCACTCATTATTGCCTCAAGGATTTCTGATTTCCCATTCTTTGTGCATAGAATAATCTTAGAATGATGTATGCAAGGCTCACTCTCAATACCCCCTCACTGTCTCTGTGGTCCAGGCTGGCCTTGAGTGCATCATTCTCTTGGCTCTGCATCTCCAGGGATCAGATTTCAAGGCTGTGCTATAACTCCTGGCTCCTCTTACCTCTTTATTTTCCATCTTAGTATTTTTCACTACCTGATTTGTAGTATACATTTCTTGTTGCCCCCCCCATGAATTTTTCATGAGAGGATGTTTGTTTTATATAGTAATACCAGAGTAATGAGTGCTTTTAAGGATATAAAGGTAACTACTGATAAGATCTAAAAATTCTTGTCATGTGTGGTGGCACAGGTCTGTAATCATAGTTGTAGGAGACTGAAGCAAGAGGATCATGAGTTCAAGGCCAGCCAGGACTCCTGAACTGTGTCTTAATATGTGCATACCATACTAGTGCTGTTTTTCTGGGTTCAGGAAATGTGAAATCCTTACACTGGGCATGGTGATGCACATCTTTAATCCCAGAACTCAGGAAGCAGAGGTAGATGATCTTGTCTGTGAGATCAAGGCCTGCCTGGTCTACATAGTAAGTTCCAGGCCATCTGGGGCTATAGGGACAACTTGTCTCAAAAATTTAAAAGAGGGAGGGAAGGTAGGGAGGGAGGGAGGGAGGGAGGGATAAAGGAAGGGAAATCCAGAATTGGTTTTTACTGTACATTCCATCTTTCAATATTTACTGAGTTGCTTTTTTTTTTTCTGTTTCTATTTTTTGTATGTGAACATGGTGTGGAGGCCAGAGAACAATCTCCAGTGTTGTTCCTCAGGAGCTATCCACCTTGTTTTTTGAGACAGTGTCTCAGTAGCCTAGCTTGCCCAGGAGCCCCAGGAATCCCAGT